TGTGTGTGTGTGTGTGTGTGTGTGTGTGTTATTGTGTAAAACTCTATCCAGAATAATGTAAGAAGCCGCTCATATGGGTTCTTTATCCATCCCCATTCACCATCATAAACCAGATTTTAGTAGTTTCATCAATCTCCTCCGATGTTTTCTCTGATTGATGCCAACAATTTGACTCATCTGAATTTTCCATAAGCACAAGATGTGTCTTTCCACGTGGTTAAGAAGCTACTCACTGTATAAGTTGTTGTTGAACTTCTTCTGTCTCTGTCTGTTTTCAGATGACTCTTCATCAGAGAGCGGTGGTGGGATTGGTCTACCTGCCCTGACCCCTCCATCCTCTGCTGTTACAGATGGTGTTATGGTCAGAGAAACAGAGGTCGTCAACGGCAGTGGCAGCGCTGCCCCACTCGACTTCAGCAGACTAACTTCCTCTTCCTTGTCATCTGAGGACCAGCAGCTTCTGAACTTGAGTGACTCGTCCTCGCAACGCCTGTCCCTGTCCTCCTCACATCTGCCAATCACTGTTTCAGCAGCTGCTGCAGCTCTGCTCGGAGCTCTGCACCCCGGTGCACCTGAGGAGCTCCGCAGGAAGTACTCACTGACTGCCAAACATCCACCCCTGCCTTCGCCACACGTACACACTACTCACATACACAATCCACACACTCGAAACACAGACACTCAGTCACACACACACAACACAGCTCTTCGACTGGATCAAGACAGCAAGGACTATGGAAGCAAGGTGAGAGCACTTCATGTGCATCCATCCATACATTTATCTAGGGATGCATTCTTTAGCCACTGACAGGATTTATTATCAGCCACCTCTTCTTGTTGTCCATGTCTTGCAGGGTTTTATCTTTCCATATTTTATTCAGTTTTCAATGAACTCATTGGTTCTGTGTTGACCAATAGTTGGAGCTTGGTCACCCTCATGTTGTTGCCAGTTCCCTTCTGTACCGTTCCATGTGCCTGTTCAGTGTAGCTGCTATGATGCATGACAAGAGTTTCCATGTTGTACAGAGACAGGTGACTGACCCGTAGTTGGATGAGATTGCCCCGTTCTAGTGATTGTTCATGTTCTGGGCTGTCCAGGCTTGGCTCAACCACTCCTAGGGTTGTAACAATACATCGATCCACATCGATAAATTGATTAAATGGTTAATGATTCAATTACAWCAAAGCAAAAATGAAAACATCATCAAGTGCCCAATATGGCTTGATATCATGTCCGTTTAATGCAATGATTGTGTTAAATGGACATATGTTATTGCGTCATGTGGATTGCAGACTTGTGAATTGAATTGAACTTGTATCATGACTGTCATCCAAACAAATAGATTCAATAAAGTATTTTGATAAAGCTGCTGATTTACRTCCCCAGTCCATTCTCTTAGCAGTTTGTTCATTTGTGCTGCTAACCACATGAAGAACAGTGAGTTTCTTAAGTCAGTAGGTGTGGACCAGGTCAGTTCTGGGGCAGTCTGACTCTTTAAACCTGAGATTCTGTTTTGAATGTCTGGCACTAACTCAATACAGGWACTCCTTCTCCTATAAACTTCTCCCCTTTTGCTCAGTTTCAGCTCTGGGTGGATCTAGTCTCATGTTGTCCCCCTGCCATTGGGAGTACACTTTAGATCCCATGTGTCAAAAACAAGAGCTGCATTAGGCCTGCAGGTGACTTCCATCTTGTCTGCCAAAAGCACCGACTACCAACATTTTTTTTTGCCAAATATAATAGTTTTTAGCAACAGAATAAACAAATTGTTAGGTTAATGTGGAGGAATGAACCCAAATCCAGACGGAGGATAAAGTTTTACAAAAATGAAAGTGTTTATTATAAAAATAAAACAAAAGGCTGACGTGGCAGCAACTAACAAAAAACTCTTAGAACAAAAAAGGAGGAACAACAAGGAAAACCAGAACAGTTGGACATGCCAAATAATAAACTAGTGCGTAAATGAGAACTGAACCAGGATTACATACTAACTGAAGGAGAGGGGAAATTACAAGCAGCTGGAGCTGATTAGTGATTGAAGACAGGTGAGGATGGTTTGCTGAGAACGTCCTAGAAACTAGCTGAGAAAACTGAGGAGAACTGAAGGGTGGAGACACAGAGAAAACATAAAACAACAACAAAACAACATCCTTACACAAATTTAAAAGTTTAAGCATAATAATATCTCTGATCTGTTAGCTTTGACTAGCTGTGGCCCCCTAAGCAATTTAGTTGAACCACGTTGTATTAATGCCTTAAAATAATCTGCTTTAAAGACAACATTGACCATAAACTACATCTCCTATAATGCAAGTCAATTTTACATGGGAATTCCCAGTCAGAAAGTGGGAGAGTTCAGAATTCAATACTCACTGCAACTCAGATACAGCACAGTGGTAGCATATATGACCCCCACACATATGCAAAGCACCAATGCACCAGAACTCAGAAGTCACCAGAACAGATTTATTGTTTTGGGTGGGGGTCCAGAGTGGGAGTGAAGGGGCTCATTGGTGGGCCCAATGGATAGCTCTTCATCAGAGCTAAAAATAATAATAAAAATCTGAAGCTCCTATATTGAGGACCGGTAGTTTTTGATGGGCGGGGGTCACAATAAAGAGTACTTTTACTTTTAATAATATTTTTGTAATACTGTATTTACTTTTGTATTATTTACGTCACATTTAGTCAGTCGTACATTGTACTTTTCAGTGTTTATAAGAGGACTTGTTAAAATACTGTTTCATTGCAGGAAATGCATTTTTGCTTGTTATCAGGGCTCAGCTACAGCCATGAGACGAGGAGCAAGACATTTTCTGTTTATTTTAAGTTATACATGAAATGTTAAAGTTAGTTACAACKGGCCCTTTGAGGGCCACCATAACTCTCATGTGGCCCTTGGTGAAAATGAATTTGACACCTCTGTTTTAGATGGTATGGTGGTAAACATCCTGTTTATACTGGTGCCTTCTGCTTTTCGATTGTACCTGTGAGTAGTCAGAGCAAAGTGTTATTTAGCAGTTTTTATAGGCTTGGGTATAGACAAGCTGTGGTATTTCTGTGAAGGTTCTTTCTTTATAACACATTTTAATTGTTTCTAATGTTGGATTTTTTTCTGTCTGTATTACCTTCCAGCCTTCTCACCCATGTGGGTTGTGGTTTTCATTTTGTTTCTTGTATCTTGGAGTGYATTGTTTCTGTAGTGTAAGCACAAAATAGGAGCAAAACAAAAAAAGAGCTAATTTACACAGTTCGTTTGTATCAAGGGTACAGTGAAGACAAAATTATACCAAGTAATCATTTTTGTGTTAAGTCCCCAGAGTACAGTTCAAGTGGCAGCTACGATAGCATGAAGATGGACATGTGTGCAGAAGACCTGACAACCGGGCGCCAAGGGAGCCAGGTTGCCCCCGATGATGACGATGATGACCATGACGATCATGACGACAATGACAAGATCAACGACACAGAGGGTGTCGATCCAGAGAGATTAAAGGCCTTCAATGTAAGTCAGAAGAATGAAGTTTACCCTAGAAGAAATAAATGTGTTTCCTCTTATTGACAAAGAAAAAATGTTGAAGAGCTGACTGTCAATTCTCTTTTTAAAACCTGACGGCATCATCAGTTACAGAAATGAAGTCTTTAAGTTATATTGCTGTCTGAACCAAAGTGTCTCTCTGAGGACAAATAAAAAAATAAAACCCACAAAAGTTATATGCAGTGGTGGGCACCAGTCTGCTAAAGCACAAATCCACTAATTGCGGACCTAAATATTTCATTAGCGCCTTAGCGGTCTTACTAATTTTTGTAATTCATAAGCAGATTTAAATTAGATTAGATTAAAATGTAGTACCGCTAATAACTAATTATGTACCAGTCTTCATCATCTTGAACAATAGAAGGTACAGCTTATCATTTAAAACAGGGACAGAACATCATCTGGTATTATAGTAAAGAAAATTCCCTAAAGAGTTCGTTATTTTCTTGAACAGCAGAGAGGGCTTGCTGTCAGTGACCAACACCATGAGGAAACACAGTATTGAAACACCACCCTCTCTGACGAATGGGAAATTAACACAGAGCAAAAAAGTGAGTTTTGCATAATAGGTGCCCTTTAACGTGACAGTGTGGTGAACATGAGTGAGCGGACTTTTAAACGGTTAAATCTTGTGGAAATGTTTATGAAAGAGTAAAAATAAAGTGCCGTCGCTTTGCCTCGTCGTCTGGATGCAACTGACAGCACTTGAGCCAGGAGGTCTCTCCTCCCGCTGACAAAGCTAGCTTCTCTCTGCCTTCACGTCCTACAGCTCTCACACAGGAGCCCAGCTCAGCCAGCAGCTCTCAGGTAACTTTAACCACCTGGTCTCAGTCAGACGGCCATTTTTTTCGAGTTTGAGCAAAATGTGTTCTGAGCTGAGTGTTTCTTGTCGCTACACGTCTTGTTCTCCTTCAAAAAAAGGCAAAAAAAAGCAAAAGAACTCTCTGAATATTACCTTTCATTGAAGTCACGCTTTTCTCAGTTACCGTTTTGCTGCATTTTGACATAGTTTCCATTACAGTCGGCATGAATCAGATTCCTCTTCTTGCCCTATTTTTATTTAATAGTTAACTCTACACTCACCGGCCACTTTATTAGGTACACCTGTCCAACTGCTCGTTAACACTTAATTTCTAATCAGCCAATCACATGACGGCAACTCAGTGCATTTAGGCATGTAGACATGGTCAAGACAATCTCCTGCAGTTCAAACTGAGCATCAGTATGGGGAAGAAAGGTGATTTGAGTGC